CTGTTGTGATTGGTCTACGGCGTACAGCGCGTGTCGGAAACGATACGCCCATTTCAACAGTTATGTATTTTGAACGCTCTATAGAAAGTATAAACATCTATTATTTATCATACTTACAGGTTGTGATTCAGTGGAGCAGCTGGTCTAAATAAACAGGATACTGATCCAGCTTTCAACAGCAAGCGTTTTGTGAATCCCGCGTTAAACTCCCAGAGATTAGGAAGCAGTCGTCAGTAGAATGACGTGTTTGTGGGCGGGGTCAAGTTGTTCGCGGCCGGCCAACGTAGAACATAGGCGTGCATCATGCAAATGTGTTATCCCGTGACGTGTAGCCGTCACGGAAGTGGGATTCCAATTACTAATGACTCGTTTCAGCTGTTCAGAGTCGATTCTTTATTTTGGGAGACAATAACTTTATTTATCGTGCACTTTCAGCTTTACAACTTTGCAGATCGTTTACATTCACATACAGCTACATTACACACTGCATGAAGGCAATAGTGGAAATGGCATAATAGGGGCACTTTAAGTTTCATTAAAATTATCTTCATTTGTGTTTCAAAGACAAACAAAATTGTATTTTGAAATGGGTTTGGAACAACATAAATAAATGACAGAATTTATAGTGGCACCTAACAGAATAGCAAAAATAATAAATGTTTTCAAACAGGTTTCCTAAACACACCATTTTTCAAATTATCAACATATTCACTTGCATGAGCATTTCATTATGTCCTCCAGTTGAATTGAGTCCACCTAGGACCCCAAACCAATATTCAGTGTACTAGCTTAGCATAGCATAGCATGCTAGCTCACCTTATACCCTATGAAAGTTACTGATTCTACATGTAATCTATACTTCCTCTAATCAGGTATTACAAATGGCTGAACCCAGAATTTTACAGACAGACTTGATTCAATATTTATATATGAAAATAATTAATTTTATTACACTGCTCTCTTTAATGCTTGATTCCGATTGATCGGTCTCTGTAAGGTGTGCTACATTATAACAAATAATATTAGGCAATAAACCCTTTCAGGGGTTTATGTGTGTCAGGCTGGATGGGATGCTCAAACAAATCAGTCCATGAATAATTTCCATTTAGATGTTTCAGCATTTTAAGCTGGTAAAGTATGTTAACATTGAATAAAATACACACTTCAGCTTTAATGCCATAGTGAAATGTCAAGTCTGGGTCATTTCCTCAGATATCAGTTATCAATTATGTGTTTAAAATGATATACACTGCCAATGCCGCCCACAACAGCTATCGGGTATTATTATAGTATAATTAAGTAGGAGAGAAAGGAAAGCTAGAGTCAGTATAAGTATCTGGTGTACAGCTTGTGGAGGCCAAACAGTCTGTCAAATCCTGCTGTAATGGATATTCATCTATAAATGACAGCTGTATAGACTCCTATCCCAACATCATCAGACAGATTGAGCAAACAGAAGATTTATTAATAAGAGGGACCGTAGTGGAAAGAGCGTGTGTGTGTGCTCACACACCCATATTCCATCATTTCATGTTGGTTTGATGAGCTGGCTCTATTGAGTTAGTTAATTGAATCTCCCACTTGCAGCCTTGATGTTATTGGGAAGCTTTTTGGCATTGTCTGATGAACAGGTGCACTGACACTCTCTCATTTTTAGGAAAGCTCTGTGGTCGGAATTGAAAAGTGAATTCAAAATGGCTTCCATCTTTGCCGTGTCTTGATATCTGTAATTAAAAAGCATTGTCAAGATAATGCAGTTTGACATCTCCCAAAAACAAGGCCCCCAGTTGAGTTATACAAAACAGTGGGATATGAAGTTTGCCCATTTAATTCATGTCTTATTTGTTACATGGTTTCAAATCAATTCGAACACATGCTTTGACACAAAGCTTTTCGCTTGTGGTTAGTTATTGTTAAAATCAACTCTCTACAGAAATTGTTTGTTTATTTGTATTGTTAATGTTTGAAAAGGTAAAAGCAATATTTTGTAAATGTTTAATTTGTATGTTATTTTACAGAGGGCCTTGATCCAAATGGGGAGAATACAGGCTATAACTTTGCCTCCAATAGCAGTTCAGTTGCAGCAGCCATTTTAGTGCCTTTTATTGCCATGATCATAGCAGGCTTCGCTCTGTATCTCTACAAACACAGGTAAAGCAGTTCACAAAAGATGCATTGTTCATTGTACATTGATTTGTTTGTGATTTATTATGAATCACTCTTCCAGAATATTTGGTAATATGTCTTGTTTACTTTCAGAAAAAGGCCCAAAGTACCCTTTAATGGTTATGCGGGCCATGAGAACACAAATGGAAGGGCGACTTTTGAGAATCCTATGTATGACCGTAACATCCAGCCCACTGATATCATGGCCAATGAGACAGAGTTCACGGTCAGCACAGTGTGCACAGCAGTATAGCAACCGCTCTAGTCAAAGGTGAGTCTTCAACCAGAAAGATCTGTTCTTAGTGAACTGCCTACACAGGTCTCAGTATATGGGAGAATTGACTTCAATACAGGTATCTTAAAGAGGAATGACACAATATACTAATAAACATAAATATACATGACCTCCAAATTGCTGTAAAATAGTTTTATTATTTAAAATAGTATTTTATTATTTATTGATTTTTATTTTCTTAATTTTTTGTTATCAAATTGAATTAATTATAACTACAATCTAATTGAGTTCTATTTATAAGGACATTTCTCTCTTTTTTTTCCACTGAGCTTATCGCAATGCATTCTGTCTTCCCCAAGCTTATGGAATGCAATGTTTTGAGTGAAATTTAAAAACTTGCAACTACTGAATTTTTTTTTTTTTTTTTTTGCACTGCTTTCTGCAGTGACTGATTTTGATAAGTATCAGGTTATCAGGACCCCATTTGACCCTAATTTTAAAACAACCTTCACATCAGAAGTCCACTAGGTTTTGGAACAGAGCTAATAATTTGTTCTTGTGAAACATGCTAACTGAGCTGGTTACAGTCTGATGATATTTTATGAATTTACTTTTTTTTTTTTCCTAGAAGAACTTGTTTCTAGGTTTCAAAGTCATACCGTGACCTTAGCATTCTGCATCCATATATAACGTGTTTCATTAGACTACTGTATAAACTAGCATGGTGTCAGTGATGAAAAGGTCATTGCCGAACACAGTTGAAATCTTGCAGTATAATAAGCTGAATGAGGACAAAAACCTCAGGGAAAAGACATATATCCTCTCATAATTGCTTTGGAATGATTTAGGGGCATCATTTGCTGAATATTTTGCTATTATACTCATACTGCCTTTTCAGCATATAGTTTGTTTGAATGTTGAGCGGGGAGTGGGGGAATTAAAACTGGAGAAAATGTACTTCTAAAACTGACTTTATCACCCTGGTTTTGCCCTCAGACAAAATGGAAAACAAACTGCTGAGGCAAGGGGATAAGGATAGAGAAGTATTGAATTTTAATGTATTTATTTCAGCTGGGTCTCTCCTTTTTTTTTTTTTTTAAAGAGCACCTCTAAGCCACAGACTGAACTTGGGCAGGATTTGTAATTGGTTTCCCCTTGTATCCCATGTATTTAAATCTGTTCTGCTGATTTGAACCTGAAACAGCTCTTTGTCATGTGGAAACATGCTTTTCTGCTGTTTGAGGATTTTTTGTTGTTGCATTCCTAAATTACATGAGTTAAAAATGTACCTTGCTATTGCAGTCTGTTGTGATGATGTTAGTCTGATATTGTTGTGTTGAGCATCTCTCTTTCTCACTCCTTCTCTATTTTTTTCTCTTTTTCACCGTGTCCATCTGTATTTTTATGTCTTTCCCATCTGACAAGCAGTGTTGCGCAGTAACTAACTAAAGCCCGGCTCACACTGTGCGATTTTGGCCACGATTTGGTCGTCTGAGACAAATTTTGAAAATCCTAAAAGATTCCTATAATCCTAGGCTAAAATCTGTAGTCTTTGATTGTTAGTTTGACGTGTTCCCCGACAGCCGATTAATGACCGTTGCGATCAAATTTTACCTCCGACGAACTTCTGGCAGTGTCAGAAGATTTGGCGCACAGTCCTGCAGTGTGACATCTCCTATGACGAACGTCAAACTGTCTTCGTTTTTCAAGACAAGCCATGATCAGAATTAATGCTAGAGATTTCTTCTAACCGCATAAACTCCGGCGCTCTCGTCCTCCGCTCACGGAATTCATCTGATATGTTGCCTTTGCTCTGATAAACACCGGTTGCGCTGCTGTTTTCATGTGGGTGTGTAGTGCTACTTGCACTACTTACACCCATTTTTAACGCGTCTTGACTGTTGTGCAGTCTGACATTAATAACAACTGAGATCCCACAGTGTGACATGATCATCATGTTCGTACAGTCTGACAAGTACAATCCTAAAGGACTTAAAAAATCGCACAGTGTGAGCCCGGCTTCAAGTAGTATTGCCAACTACATCTTTCAGTATCCTAACAGTACCTCGGCTGTTTTTAAAATAGCTTTTCCAGTAATGGGATATTTAAAAAAAGAAAAGAAAAATAGCACAATATATTTTTGTAATGTATTTTTTATTTATTTTATTTTTTTATTAATTTATTATTTATTATTAAATTTGATTAATTCGAGTATTAAGTAATCAAATGCATCAAGAAACATTGGGAGTTGTAATTAATTTATTTGTTTGGTAAATCATTAGACTCCCTGCCAGAGCATGTGAGCGGAGCGGGGAGCAGAGTGGTAATATTTCCTTAAGAGCGCAGAGAATTGGTTTACGGCGAGCGTGAGCGGAATATTAACGGAGCGCTTGCTTGGGCGGTTAGAGCGACTGAGTGGAGCGCACGTCCATAGAGCGGAAAACGTAGCGGAGCGTCACACCGCTCCGCTTCGCTCACATGCTCTGCTCCCTGCACAGAATACACAGCAAAACTTTTTAAGCTATGAATTTTCAACATTTAGGGGTGTAATGATGCTGACTT